TATATATATATATAAAGTACATCAAAAAGTTGGGAGAAAATATGTTTACTGCTCTTGAGATATTTTGTTAACAAACAGAAAACATTTTACATTTCAGTGGCGGGCAACACTTTTACAGTTTTTGGTTTCTTCCAAAAAGGGGCGGAGCCATTTGAAACAACGAGGTTCCAAACAATTGTATTAAATGTTTTAGATGAAAACCTAGAGATTAATAAATGAAATCATTGTAGATTCAGTCCCTGACTCAGATCTGAACCAAACCAAAAAACATGTCTTGTTTTCTTGTTTCAGCCGACACTCAGGCTGGAAGTGACACCAAACTGACGGTGGAGGATTTGTTCAAACCAGAGTTCAAAGTTCACGATCCAGAGGCCAAATGGATCAACGGTGAGTTCCCACACAAACTGCAGCTGCTGGGTTTCTGCTGGTTGTTAGCAGCCGAAACCACGTATCAGTTTGTTTCCTCTTGTTGTGTTCATTGTTGTATTGCTTTTAAAATTTTGAGCATTTTTATTTCAATTCATTTTTTTTTTTCACAAAAGAAATTTAGATTTTGTGAAAAACTTTGTGCTTTTTGAAATAAGCTTCAGGATTCTGGTTTAGTTTTAAGTTGTTAGTGTCAGCTTTGCTAATTTTGGCTTTAATTTTAGCTATTGTTATATTAATTTTAGTTTTGCTAGTATTAGCTTTTATCTTCTGTAAAGAGAGTTTTTGCTGTGTTAGTTTTTTGACTTTTCACTAGCTGTAACATTTAGCTCCTGTTTTCTTAGAGTTTTTAATCTACTGTGGTATTAGTTTTACCTTTTAGCTAATGTTTTACAGATTTTGGTTCCAGTTACTGTTTTGCTCATTTTAGCTTTTGCTGAGAGAACGTTTGAGTTCAGCTGTGATTTAGCTGTTGTTTAGCTCTCTGCACCACTCTGTACTTTTAAAGAAAATGCAGATTTTTTTAAGCTGTTAAAATGAAAGGCAGCAAAGAACTTAAAGCCCGGTTCTGACCCGTATCAGACTTTAAGGATGTAGGGATCTGAGCAAACACCAGCTCTCGTGTTTCAGCACAGACCTGGTTTATAAATGGACCCAGAACAGGTGAAACCCGGAGAACCCGGTTTGTAAATGGACCTGGTTGGTTCTGCAGGAGGCAGAGAACTGTAGCTCTGAGGGGACGATGGTCAGGATCAACAATATTTCATCCTCGGGTGACATTTTTCCTCCATCTCTCCGGCGCCGTCTCATTCCCGGGGCTGACCTGAGGGCCGGGCGGCGGTGGCGTGCGATGAGGCGCTTAGAAAAGCCGTCTTTATGGTGTTTTTGTGGACGGATGGAGCGAAATAGACCTCAGACAAATGGGAGAAGATAAGAGACAGACGGGCGAAGAGGGAAGATTGATCACTTGGATTTAGAGCAAAAATGAGATTTTCTTTTCCCTCAAACCAAAAGCTTGGAGGGTTTAAGATCTAAAATCATTTTCTGTCTCTGTAACAGATTATTAAGATCAGAGAAAAACCAGTTCAACAATCTGACTTTTATGATGTTTCACCTGGAATTAAAAACAAACTAAAATATTACCTGTTTAATGAGCASTTCTGCTCTTTTAGGTTTATTTAATGTTATTCAAAAAGATGAGAGTTTATCTCTAAATGATGATGATGATGGTCACACACCCCTCTTTTCAATGTATCATATCACCTCCATAAAACCCTGCCAGAGAACCTGTGGTACCATCAGAACCTTTGTTTTCTCACAGCGTCTGTTTGTTTGAGGCTTATTTTCTGCTCTGTGTTTCTGCCTGCTTCTCCAATCAATGAGATTAGTTGTGACATTAGCAGGTTGTCTGTAGCTGAGAGGATAAACACCAAAAACTTTATAATTTTGGTTTAAATGGTTTCAGGTCTTTGCTAAACTTTATATTTTTGGTTTAAATGGTTTCAGGTCTTTGTTATACTTGAAATTTTTGGTTTAAATGGTTTCAGGTCTTTGTTATACTTTAATTTTTTGTTTTAAATGGTTTCAGGTCTTTACTAAACTTTATATTTTTGGTTTAAATGGTTTCAGGTCTTTGCTAAACTTTATATTTTTGGTTTAAATGGTTTCAGGTCTTTGCTAAGCTTTATATTTTTGGTTTAAATGGTTTCAGGTCTTTGTTTAACTTTATAT